TGCCGTTGATTGCTTTGAAGATGACCCATGGCCTGCTTCTGCATTGTCGACTTTGCTTGAGCCGGTTGGATGCGTGGCTGTGTGATATGGTTATGACCAACAACCTCCATGTTGATAGGGTGCCTTCATTCGACACCTATTGTACCCTCTTGCCCATCGAAGGTCTGCGGCACCAATCTACTGACTATGGTTGTGTCCATGTGAAAAAATAGCTTCTTCTGCGTTGCATGCACTGTCTGTTCACATCTGTACTTTATATTTGATTCGGTTCGACTCGTGAATAGTTTTGCATGCCTTAGCGAGATCATCATCATACAAAAGGCTAGTGCACAGGACTTGTGAGGAGCCCAGGGGAGTAAATTTTGGCTAAGATCAGGTTGAAGGAGTGTGTCCACAAATCATTGTTGTCCCTTTTGAGTACAGAATCATCAAAGACTGGGTTAAAATCAACGATTTCCCCCTTTCAATTTCCTCATATGGAATCATAAGACCGGGAGCAGCAGAATCGCGAGTAAAGGCAGTAAATGCATTGGTTAAAGATGCAACTGTCGCTGAGAGACAGCAGCTTGCAAGCTGTGATCTTGCGCAGGCCTTGAGGCGCTGGCGCAGCTTGAGGGACCAGGTTCTGCAGTGGGTGTAATATTAAGCTTAGAAGTGCACTTCTTAGCTGGCGTAGCAGAAACCTGAGCAGCATTAACACTAGGCACAATTTGAGCTCTTGCAATTTCCTTCTCCAGATGCATAAAGAGCAACTGAATAATGGCCTCATTGGCCATAGTTGCTTTGCTGAAAAAAAAATATGTGACGCTCACCAGGAACGAAGCATAGCAAGCGTGGTATGCACCAGAAATACACTGACAAGACAGCGTGGGGAGGGCCCTTGTATCAAGGGAGTCATAATCACTTCCTTTGTTATACTTTGAATGCGTGGTGTTTCCTTCACCAGGCAATACAATCTCATGTGATCTGAATGGAGGTTACTGCAATGTAGAATCAGAAGCTAGAATCAAGACTGAATGGAGCAGTATAGCTACATGTGTAATACCAAGAGTCATGCTGCAGAATTCCCAGGACTTGTCAGAGGGTTGGATTTCCTCTCTGCCATGGTACATTTATTCTGATCAGGAAACAAAGCCTTTGCTTAAGTTACGAGAAACATTACATTCTTTTTGTTTTATATCACTTACGTATCTTTCTACCCAAAAAATGGTCCTTATCTGAAACCTTTGGTTTAGGTTTGTTGTTTTGTTTATATTTAGTATTGTAGTTTTTAGGGTGATTGCTGCAATTTTAGGAATTTAAAATATAGAAAAGTTGGATTTGGGGGTCAAAAATCTTGCCTGTGTGTAGCGCACAATGACGAAAAGTTAACACCACTTTGTAGAACTTTGTTTTTCAAATGGCATTCAGTTAGCGACAGGCAATTGAACAAGGCTTTGGTAGTGTACCTAGGATGCTACAATATAAAGCTTGAATCTTTTCTTTTTTGTTTTGTGAATAAGGGTTATATTGAGAAGGCACTGTGTGTCCATAGTAAATGATACAATAAAGACAAAACTGTCAGACGATACATTAAATGGCTTGGATGGAGGTTATA